GAGAGAGAGAGAGAGAGATCGAGAGATCGAGAAACGAACAGCAACAGCGTAGCATCAACTGCACATCAACTTTTACAAGGAGACACGATTTATCCAGCTTTGAGAAGTTTATAAAATCTCACTTGAAACCGAGAGAAGTTTCCACTGCAATCAGAAACCAAGGCATGATGAAATTGAAAGTGTGTCCTGAGTGTTGACTTCATGGTAGCAAGACTTGTAGGTGTTCAGTGGTTTACTGACCTAGAACTACATTAAAGGGAAATCACGTCATCTTTATTACATAATTATAGGATAAAACCATGAAAATATACCATGGGTTATATTCTTCCTATATTTAAACATTGCAATAAATTTTAATATAGATTTAGAGTCATGAGGCGTGTTGTACTGGGTTTCAAGACACAATATTTTTCATTCCCTTGCCTCTAAGAATTTCGGAATGAACCTTTAAGCAAAGAAATAACAATAATACACATTTTCTCTTTAGTTCTCTTACTCGTTGAAGGAAAATAAGCAAAAGATTCCGTCGACTTTCACGAAAAAAAACACGCTACCGGGAGAAAAATTGCTCACTGTTCTGAGGTGTATGCTAACTTTGAGCCATGGAACTTGTTTATTCAGCTTATATTTAACATTTACGGTTCGGTTGAACATTTGTAAGCGCAGCCCGCCTGGCAGATCAAAGGCTAATATCTTTCACAGTCGTTTTACTTGTTCCCACTAAAAGAAGTTTAACATTCCGGGCGCATGCTGATGGCAAGGCAGGAAGCTACAGCGTGTCCAGCTTATGTTTAAATCTGCCCCAGCATTTACTCCTTCTCACAAAACTGGGTTCACAACCACAGTCCCTCCTCCTCCTTTTTTTTTTTTTTTTAAACCGAGGACACAGCCTAGCCTCCGTCCTGAGCCCCAACCCCATCATTTATCTCCAGTGGGCGGTCTCGGTGGAGAGGGACGAGGTTGCTACTACCTGAGGTGTCTAGCCTAGGTAAAACGTCCTACATTTCATCTCTGAAGTCTCTCCCTAAGAAGTACAAAAACGAACAAAGAAACAACAGAATGTGCAATGCAAATTACTGACTACAAACCGCGCTGTTTATTTCTTGTTGGGAGCTAATGTGCGCTTGATTGCCATTCAAACTGAAAGAAAGACCCCTTCAACCTACATTGTATTTGAGGTCTGAATGAAGAGATTAATTCGTTGTTTTATTGCTTACAATTTAACATATTTTCACTGGACTGCAGTGCTGGCGACTGTAAGTTAAAACCTACTTCCTCCTGCTATCCCTACGCAACTCCTTCCACTACGCACCCTCCTCCTCCT